TCAAGGACTTACGCTCTGCCGCGGCGTGGCAGGCTCAGCTCCTTCTGCAATGAGAAAAGTGAGAAGCAGGGTCAGAGCGTGGCCCCAGGCATAGGGGTTGCCCATGCATAGGACCCCCACCTCCCACCAGCCACGACCACACGCCTGGCAGCATCCTTGCTGCCTGTAGCCGGCCCTTGCCACCAGGCTGTCACCACAGGGCTGGGCCCTGCTGTCTGTGCCTGGGGTGCCGGGGCTCTGCCATGCCAGGTGAGGGTGACAAATGCCTGCCCAGGGTCAGCACAAAGGGACATCTCCTCCCAAGGTCCCCAGGGCTGGCGGCCCTGTAGCCAGGCCCAGGAGCGAGGGCATGAGGGTGGCGGAGCGGGAGCAGCACTCAGCCGCCTGGCTGGAGCATGGCCCCGGGGTGGTGGCTGTGTCCTGTTCCCCATCCCGTCCCCCCAACCCCAGGTGTGGGGAGCAGCCAGCAGCCCCCACACTGTTTATTTTTCCAGGCGCTGGGAATATTTCTTGCAAGAGCTGTTTGCTCGCAGGTGGTGCAACAGGGCAAAGGGCAGCCGTGTGGGCAGGAACCCTGGCCCACGCCATGCTCCTGGTGTGGCGGGCACCACTGGCTCCAGCACAGACCCAGTTCCCACCTGTGTGCCACCAGGCATGCCACAAAGAGAGTGGCACACATCCCACCAGCACGCTGCGAGGGACACAGTGTGAAGGGGCTGGGGTGTGCCCTGGCACGCTGCAGGGTGCTGGCACACGCAGTGGGTGCACCTAGGATCGCCCTGATCCTGTGCCCACCGCCGGTGCCTGCCAGCGCCATACCCCTAAGCAGCTTAAACATTCCCCACGTGGGCAGGGAGCTCCCTGTGCACAGGGGCTGCTGCCACCCATGTGGGGGCATGCAGCAGCACCCATGCACCCACACCCCTGGGGTGCCTGCACCCCGTCCTGCTGCCCACGCCATGCAGCCCCTGCGGAAATCCCTGGATTGGGGCACGCTGTAACGCAGTGATGCAGCAGCATTGCCATGGCAACGGGTGACATCATGCCTGGGCGCACAGGGGACTTGGCAGCCCCGGGGGCCCACGGGTGTGTGTCTGCTCTGGGGTGGCGTGGGTGCTGGGACGGGTGTGGGTGTAAGGGGTGGGTGCCCAGGTGGGTGTGGGTGTCCCAGTGCACCCAGTATCACTGGGTGACCCCAGGCCCAGGTTGGGAAGGCGGTTCAGGGTCCCTGCTTGGAGCAGGAGCCCCCCAGCACCCTCACCCTGCCCTGCCATCACCCAGCCCAGATCCTCACCCACACCCTGGGCCATGCCGCTGGCCACCGGCCCCCAAGCAGAGGAAGAGGCAGAGAAGGGTCACGCCGAGGGTTTTACTGCTCAGCCATGTGTAGAAGGGACAGTGGGGACAGAGGACAGACACCCCTTTCCCCCACACTCACCCCCATCCCTCAGCACAGCCTCCTCACCCATCCATGGGTGCAAGGGTGCAGAGTGGTCCTGTGGCACCCAACACACATTGCTGCTGGGGGGTCTTCCTGGGGACAGCCAGAGTTTCCCCCGAGGGCCCTGGGGACCCAGGTGGGGCAGTGCCACAGGGCCAACACCCATGAGGTGCCATACACCCACCCAGCATGGTGTGCCTCCCATCAGCAGGTCCCGGCGGGAGCCAGGATTAACCATCAGCTGATCCCTGCGGGGATGGCATCAGGGACGGCATCGGGGACGGCATCGCTACTCAGCGCTTTGGGATTAGCTCCCTGGTGGGAGCCCCATCGCACCCCTCCTGCCATGGGGCACACAGCCTGTGGGTCTGCTGGGAGTGACACCCATGGCCAAGAACCCCGAGCCCCACAGCCATGGCTCTGACGGCCGTGTCGGTGGGGAGGCAGCTCTGGTGCAGGGTTCTGTCCTGGGCTGAGCATGTGGCGGAGCACAGCTGCCCTGCGGAGCTGCCAGCTCGGATGAAGGCAGCACCGTGCCATCCTCCAACCGCCCAGACAGCTCGGGCCAGGCCCCCCGGTTACTGCGGCTCTGTTCTGCGGATGGGGATGGAGGTGGGAGGTCACCCGGAAAATCGGGCTCAGTGCTCAGACGGGGGGGGCTGCGGTTGTCACCCCTCCAACCCTCCAAGCACAGCAGTGGGTGCTGGGGTCCTTGCAGCGTGCAGGTGGGACAGGGAGGACGGGTGACCCCTGGCCCCGCCAGGAGCAGTAACACAGGGCAATGGAGGGGGCGGCTTCTGGGGGGGCAAACCGGTGCTGGTACAGTGGTTTGGCACAGACTGGCATCGTGGCCTGGGCTGGGGGAACCCCGGTGCTCCCACGGGAGCCCCCAGCCCCTGCACAGGCAGGTG